CAAAGTGTTTTGCATTAGTATATTACAGAATGCTTAAGATACTGGAAATTGAAACACCCAATATCTAATTTCTCTTGTTTCATACACCTAATCCAAAGTGTTTTGCATTAGTATATTATAGAATGCTTCAGATACTAAGGGTGGAACTGTAAACTGCAGTACTGTTTTATAATGCACAAAGATTAATTGACACATTTCCATAATTTCATAATTCATAATGGAATTACATTAAGTGCTTGTAATGTAAATACAACCTTTCATTGATACATTATACCCAATGGACTTGGTTAGCCAGTTAGTAATACTGTATTGACAAATGATCCCTTAAAAAGGAGAAAATTCAAGCATGTAGAGAAATATAAATTTAACAAAAAATGTAATTGCTTTCTGTTTTTATGAATCAGATCTTTGCTTACACTCATGAACACTCTATATGGCACAGACAGGACTGTATAGACAAAATGAGGCCTGCAGAATTAAATTCCTTTCTGGGACATTCACCCTTGTTGTAAACTTATAAAAAAGATTTTCTGGCACCATGATTTGTTTCTTATTATATTTGTTTTGCTTTCTGCAGGGAGAGGTTGGCCCACCTGGAACAGAAGGTTCAAAAGGAGAAAGGGTAATTTTTCCCACTCTTTCCTATTAGTAATGAAGGGGCAAAATGTGATATTTGTATATTTAATATGAAGTATGTAAACAGTATTTCCTGCATGTAACCCTTCCCTATAGACCACTGTAGAAAGAAGTGATTTAATAAGATAATAAAATAATTTACCTGTGGAACCATGTCTAGCAAGATTAAGTCAGCAGCAGTCCCCTGAAAAAAAAAATAATTGTAAACATCTGGGTGAATATTAAAGTATAATATTTATCTCACCAACAATATAGACAAAACCACAGTTTAGGTCAGCGTCAAATATATTGCCTGGGAAGCAGTAACCAAACAGCCACAGGCCTGCTGCCACGGTACCCTCTTGTGGTCTGGAGGGGAACTGGTCTCCCTATTCTTTTACATACAGTACTGGTGTTTAATCACTTGTCCATAATAATAATGTTGCTTTATTAGCCCTATACAATTTCTTGCATTAGGAATTCATCTTTTCGCATACCCCAGCTTGCTCTCCATGAGACACAGACACACAGACAGGGAGAGAAGCTTGGGGTCAGAGCACAGGGTCAGCCATTGTACAGCACCCCTGGAGCAGCTGGGGTTAAGGGCCTTGCTCAGGGGCCCAACAGAGTAGAATTCCACTGCCGGCTGCGGGATTTGAACCAGCAACCTTCCCCTTCACAGGCACAGATCCTTAGCCACAGAGCCACCCTAAGAGCCATTTCCATCTTTTTTAACACTTCATCCAATTCAGGGTCGTGGTAGAGCTGTAGCCTATCTCAGGCAGGATACAACCTAGACTGGGCACAAACAAACACACACTCACACATTCACAGTTCAACCTTCCAGTATGTCTTTGGACTGTGGGAGGAGAACACCCCAGGTCCAGAACTGAACTCAGGTTCCCTGTGCTGAGAGGCAACAATGCTACCAGCTTCCAAGACAGCTTCCAAGACAGAAGGCAAACTCCACACCCACACCCCATCCCACCTTGGGCATATACTGTAGTCAGTTCTACAGCAGAATTAAGAGATGGATGGACTCTTTCCTCTCCTTGTGTTAAAGGAAAGAAAAATAAAACTTCTGCTATACCTTAATTTGTTGTCTACTCTGTCTAGAGTTTTTTATTTACCCTGGGCCCAAGCAGACAACACAATAAAAAAGGGCCCCGTGACAACAAGCTAATCTCACCTTACTTTTTACAAATGTCATTTTACTTCCTCTTTTTTTCAGCTGAGAAACGTTCTTGTATTCATTCCAATTTAATTTCTAACACTTATTATAAAATGCAAATGTATCACTGCTTTTATTATGCTAAAATACAGCACTGTCAGAAAATAGAACACCCGAAGAAAATTAATAACGCTCTTTTTTGTAATGAGTTTTTACTGTATAATTTACATTGCTTTCAAATGGCATTGCTGCACCTGTAGTCAACTCAATAAACAGCCATTTGCATTTCACAGGGGGAACCTGGTAGTCAGGGTGCAATTGGACCAGCTGGCCTTAAAGGAGAAAAAGGAGAGCCTGTACGTACTGTAATTGTTTGCAAACCATTTGAAGAGGAAATTAGCAAAACAAGACAAAAAAAACCTTTGAAATGCTATAGCACCTCTGAATGAGAAGTTTTAGTATAAAGAAAAATCCATATAGTTACAGTAGTATGACTGTTTCACAATAACCATCTCATACTCAGAAAAACTCAGATTGTTTCTTTAAAAAAATACTATTTATGTTTAAAATCACCGTTTCTCGTATGAATAAAATCAGAAATTTAGATGATTTTGACCACTTATTACAGTACATTTATGCAAATGGTTAAATATCATTAAAATATTACTAAAGATTGCATGGCTACTTTTCAAAGTACATCAATATCTTATTAACATATAATTTCTGTATTTTTCTCAAATAATACTAAATATTACTGTAATAACTGTAATACTGTATATTTTTAATTTCAGGGCAGAGGGATTCTTGTCAAAGGTGAAAAAGGTGAAAAGGTAAGTTTTCTTTTATAAATGCAGGTTCTGTTCTAAAAACTACTATTTGACCATGTCCCAATACAAATATTATTATTAAATAATATGAAACCTGAAGCTTTGTCATAACTTGAAAACCCTGTTATGTCCAAAATAAATTAAATATTAACACATATTGATAGGACATTCCCACATACAGTAAAACTTGCATTTTACTGCACAGCTGGTGTAGAATTAAATGCTGGCTTAAATATTTAAAAATAATTCATGTTTGAGTTTCATAACTTAATTTGTTTTGGACGTTGATGTTTTGAGGAGACTACTGCATATGTTTTTTTGTTGCATTCTGATTTTTCAAATCAAATTTGAGAACAATATTTCAGTAGTAAGCTTTGTGTTTTTATTAGTTTTCTCCCAACTGGATTTTGCATGAATGCAGAACATTTGTGTTTTTTGTCATGAGGCAATAAACTACTGATTTTTTTTTCTGTTGAAAATGCAAAGACTAAGATAACAGTACCAAAATGATAGCCCCAGAGACCACAGAAAGATCTGTAATACTAAATATTCTTCCCACACAGCCACACCTACTGTATATTTTAAAAGAGATTTTTTTCTGCCAGGAAAGTACCGGCTGGGTGCCCAAACATATAATTTCTCCTTTTGAAATGAACCAATTTCATTTCAACACAAACAATGCCTTAAATAATGTTTACTCCATTCCACATTCATTCATAAGTAGAAAGAATTTGGTTTGAACCAAGCTGTTATGATGAAAGTGTAGGCAGTACACACATTTATGTTTGCATAAATGTGTGTACTGGTTTTCATTTTCTTCCTTTTATATTAATGCTATAGTTGTTTTTTTCCAAAACATCATGCATGGAAAATGTATATAGCTTTCAGTTTTATGTTGTAAGGTAATACATTGCTACACTTCCAAATAAGCTCAAGGCAAAATAGGAAACGACAACATACTGATGAAGAACTGTACATAAACAACTTTCTGAAGTTACCAGAAAAAAAACATACATTTTCAGATACTGTAATTTCCGCGCTAACTAATATGATATTCTCTTGTGTTATTTCGAGACCATCAACTTTTGTACACTATTATTCACAATGATACCATTAATCATCAGTAGTTTATCATCTGCTTTAAGGATTTACAGTTAATCTAAAGATCAGATTTCCTTTTTGAGCTCACATACAGGAAGTCATGTTTTTTTTTATGGATAGAGTACTGGGAGTGCAGAAGTTATTTGGATTGCTGATGTGGAATGGGAACATTACAACAAAAACACTCTTTAAATACTAGAATGTGGTCAAGGTTTAGATTACATCTAAAAAATCATAGCAGAATGTTTAATTACTGTGCAACTCCTACTTGTGCGGGAGAAAGGAAGACAGTTCACAGGCCAAGGTTTTTGGTGATTTTATTCAGTGAATGTTTGTGTGACCATGAAACTGTAAGTGGTCAAAATGATTTTTATTACTTTTCTTATTTCGGTTTTGCTTTTCAATTATTTATTTTTTGTGTCCACTTCTAGTGAACTGTATACTTTAAGCTAATCCTAAGCACCCAGCAGTCTGGCTTATTCTAAAAAGGCCACCAAGTGCAGTATATTTAATTAAATCTCTGGGGCAGTATTTTATACTCATTTGACAACACAGCCAGGGATATACGTACATTACAGTGCTCAAGATTTCCAAAGGGTAAACAGATGAAGTTGTGGAATTATGAGTACAAAGATGTAATAACTTCCCCAATCACATAACATATTGTAAGGTACATTACTATCGGTACTACTAGTATTACCTGAATACCAATATTAAATGCTAAGTGTAATTGTTACATCCCAGTGTGTGTTCTTTGTGTGTTGTTTCTGTTATGTCCACACTGCTGACCCTTGATTGTTCTCCCTTCCCCATTGGCCCACCATTACACCACACTTTAAGTATGACGTCATCATCAATTAGCTCTCAGCCAATCAGAACACAT